TTTACAGCAAGAACAGGGTGAATAAAATTCTGATAAGAGCTTAATGAGGGTCTGAATATGTAAGTATAAATGATGAGATCATGTGTTAGAAATAGGAAATTCTGCAGATGTTCAAATATCTATGATAATGAAAGAGGAAGAAATACAAATTACTCTGCATCTATATGCTTTATTCCAAGTTCCTATCTTCTACATGAATGTGCTCTCAAGAACGTGAAGCCAAAGAAGATGAGATGTCACAAAGAACAGAATTAGGTTCGGGCTGGGAAGGTGGCTCAGTGGTAGAGCGCTTGCCTTGCATGCATGAGGCCCTGGGTTCGATTCCTCAGCACCACATAAGCAAAAAGAAAAAAGCCGGAAGTGGCGCTGTGGCTCAAGTGGTAGAGTGCTAGCCTTGAGCTGAAGAGCTGAGGGACAGCGGCCAGGCCCAGAGTTCAGGCCTCACAACTGGACCAAAAAAAAAAAAAAAAAAAAGAAACAGAATTAGGTTCATGGAAGGACACCCAGTACCATGTCTGAATGGGGATATTTAGTTAACTGAATAGTGCAGTGGCTAACCCAATTAATTTAATCTGATTAATCCCAACCATTGAAATTTCATGTGCTTGCTGTTAATACAGATGACTGTCCCTTCATATACATCTGTCTATTCTCTTCCCAAATCTGAAAGAATTACTAGCCTCCACAACAAAATGAACACAACTGCCAGGTGTTGGATGCTGGTGGCTTATGACTGTAATCCTACTCAGGAGGCTGAGATCTGAAGATTATAGATTGAAGTTGGCACAGGCAGGAAAAGTCCATGAGACTCATCTCCAATTAACCAGTAAAAGCTGGAAGTAGAAGAGCACCAGTGTTTAGCAATAAAGCTAAGGGACTCTGCCCAGGCCCTGAGTTCAAGCCCCAGGACCAGCACATATGCATATGCATGTGCATACCCACCCAGCCCAATTAAAAAAAAAAAACCCAAAAACTTACTACAAACATAATCACCCCCCCAAATTAATCTATATTATCCCATCAAAATTTCAAATGCCAAGAGTCTACACACAAAACATTAAAGTTAATCTGGAAGCTTGTGGTATGTGTGTGTGTGTGTGTGTGAAATTACCCTGAACACTTTTATGAGCAATAAAATTAGCTCTCATTATTTGACACAAATATTATGAAACTATAATATTGTAAGAAGAGGGGCTGGGAAGGTGGCTCAGTGGTAGAGCACTTGCCTTGTGTGCATGAGGCCCTGGGTTCGATTCCTCAGCACCACATAAGCAGAAAAAAAAAGCCGGAAGTGGCGCTGTGGCTCAAGTGGTAGAGTGCTAGCCTTGAGCTGAAGAGCTGAGGGACAGCGCCCAGGCCCAGAGTTCAGGCCCCATGACTGGAACCCTCTCCCCCGCAAAAAAAGGCTGGAGCTCAAACATGTGGATCAACACAGGGCTGAGGGGTTAGGGAAAAAGTAACAAAACGTGCCATATGCACATCTCAAATACAACAGTGAAACCCTTTGGGGGAAATTTCTATATGTGGGGGAAAATGTGGTTTTGGGAGGAGGTATTATTCAGAGAGGGGAAGAGTCATAAAAGGATGAATATGGTCTGCTTGCATGGATGAAAATAGAACAATGAAACCTGTTGAAATTGTTTTAGGGAAAAGTGGGATAGGAGAGAGTCTATCGAGAGAGGGGTTAGGCCCGGAAGGATACTTTTTTGGGGGTGTGGGTGTGGGAATGTGTGCAAATCCTGGAGCTTGAATTCAAGGCCTGGGTGCTATCCTTGAGTTTTTGTGCTCAGGGCTAACGCTCTACCATTTAAACCATAGCTCTACTTCTAGCTCTTTGGTGGTTAGTTGGAGACAGAGTCTTAAAAGACTTTCCTGCCCTGGCTGGCTTTGAACCTTGACCCTCGGATCTCAGCCTCCTGAATAGCCAGGATTACAGGTGTGAGCCACCAGTGCCCTGCTCAGGATATATTGTTAACATGTGTGGAAATGAAACAACTAAACCCTTATTATACAACTAACGCATATTAATAACAATGGAAGGGGTTTGGAAAAGTGAAGCACACTTGGGCGTGAATCCTGCCTTGTGGAAGGTCTCCAGGATAAAATCTCAAACAGCACCACCCTGGGGGAGAAGAGTGAGAAGAAGCAGGCCACTCTAACTACAGTTCCTTGTGCATGGATCTTAACTCACACAGCACCGGCCTCGAGGACAGGGCTCACCACAGAACCAAGTACTTCCACTGCCTTCATCCCCCTGGGTCAGGGTTCATAAAACCCCAAAGGATTGTCTCTTCCAGGAAGGGATTTCCCAGCACAGTGGCTAAGGGCTGGTATGTCAGTCTTATCTAACCTACTGCGGGGAGTCAGTAGGGCAAGGAGACCTGCCCGAGCCTCTCCTGCAACCCCCCCTCCCCATTACTACACTGACAACTTGGGGCTACTGGGTCTTCCAGTTAGAAGCCTGTGGGTTTCTGCTTCAATATATTCTATCCAGTGTGTGTGTGTGTGTGTGTGTGTGTGTTCTTTTTTTTTGGGGGGGGGGGACCGGTCATGGGGCTTGAACTCTGGGCCTGGGTGCTGTCCCTCAGCTCTTCAGCTCAAGGCTAGCGCTCTACCACTTGAGTCACAGTGCCACTTCCGGCTTTTTTTCTTTTTGCTTATGTGGCGCTGAGGAATCGAACCCAGGGCCTCATGCATGCAAGGCAAGCGCTCTACCACTGAGCCACCTTCCCAGCCCGTGTGTGTATTCTATCTAAGCTCTGGGTGCAAAGGGGTCTGTGCATAGACAGATCTCGGGATATGTGTGTGTGTGTGTGTGTGTGTGTGTGTGTGTGTGTGATCTAAGCTCTGGGTGCAAAGGGATCTGTGCATAGACAGATCTCGGTATGTGTGTGTGTGTGTGTGTGATCTATCTAAGCTCTGGGTGCAAAGGGGTCTGTGCATAGACAGATCTCGGTGTGTGTGTGTGTGTGTGTGTGTGTGTGTGTGTGATCTACCTAAGCTCTGGGTGCAAAGGGGTCTGTGCATAGACAGATCTCGGGATATGTGTGTGTGTGTGTGTGTGTGATCTAAGCTCTGGGTGCAAAGGGGTCTGTGCATACAGATCTCGGTGTGTGTGTGTGTGTGTGTGTGTGTGTGATCTAAGCTCTGGGTGCAAAGGGGTCTGTGCATAGACAGATCTCGGTGTGTGTGTGTGTGTGTGTGTGTGTGTGATCTAAGCTCTGGGTGCAAAGGGGTCTGTGCATAGACAGATCTCGGGATATGTGTGTGTGATCTAAGCTCTGAGTGCAAAGGGGTCTGTGCATAGACAGATCTCAGGATTTGGGGCTCCAGTACTGTCTCGTGAAGGAATCCTCCCCGCCCCCCCCCCATGCTTCCAGACATCCCCGCACACCTGAAGACCCCACATGACCTGGGGCCACGGTGGGGGGCAGAGCCGGCTGGGGACGGCCCCGGCGAGGGGTCCCTTAGACAACACAACACGCCCAGGGCGGCCGGCCTGGCGCCCAGAGAGAGCAAATAAGATCCGGGGACCCACTGACCCCCAGGAGAGGGGACCCACAGTGCAGCCACCCTCACGCCAAGGCCCGGATCAGAGCCGCGCGGGAGGCGCGCTTCCCGCCCGCTCCCTCCTCCTTCAGGGGCGGCGACCGACACTCACCATGCTCGTCCTTCGGGGGTGTCCAGCGTCCTCCAACAGACTGCTTGGCACCCGCGGGTAACAAGGCGACAGAAGCTGTGTCAGAGCCCAGGGGCCCTGCGGGATGAAAACAAGCCCGGAGGAAGACCTCCCCCCGCAAGATGGCGAGCAAACAGCGGGCGTGACAAAAGGCCGGAAGACTGCGAAAACCCGCCCCCACCCATCTCCGCGTAATCCTGATTGGTCCGTTCACAATGCTTGCCTCTGATTGGACAAGCAGCCTCAGGTCCTGCCCTCCTCGGGCCTTGAGTGACATTAGATGGGACCAACCAATGGCTGGGAGAGGCCACAGGACGCGTTCGGAGCAGCGGGTGTTGCCCAGGGGCGGGACTTTAAGCCCGGTAATGTAATAGCTGCACTAACGGATCCTTGAATTAAAGCGGAGCCGCGTGTAGTTTCGGAGGTGAATTGTGTCCGGGACGAATTCATGTTCACTGACGCCAAAGAGCCGCAACTCAGTGTCTTATTATTATTATTATTTTTGGCTGTAGCTAAATGATGGGTCGTCAGGATCTCGCAGGGCCAGCCGGAAGCCGGCGGCCGGATTCCAGCAAATTCCTCAGCACCTCCAGAAGCTGCACAGACCCACACTGTGGGCGCCCCGCACGGGCCGCCCGCCCGGCCGGTGCCTCCCGGGTGCAGATGTGGTAAAGGCTAAGCCCATGCAGGACGTCCTCGTCTTCAGGCAAGCCACACGCACTCCTGCGACGCAAATTAAGCGCAGAAGGAGAGATAGGTGCGCCCGAGGCTTTGGCGTCTGCCATCTGTTTCTTGTTGAACATCGCCTAAAACAGGATCATCCTCAAATTGAGTCAGTGGGATGCCGATCATCCCAGCCGCAGGGCAGGCAAGGGATCCGGAGGATCACGGTTTACAGGCTAGCTGGGACAAAAAGGTCCGAGGAAACTGTGTTTCTGTTGTTTAGCCAATGTCATTCTAACTGCTTTAGAGGAGGCTGAGATCCCGGAGGGACCTGGGTTCGAAGGCAACGCCGGCAGAAGAGTCTGTACAGACTCCACCTCCAAAATAACAAGCAAAAAAGGCCGGGTGGAGGCGAGACTCCGGTGTTAAGCGTTGACATAGAAGAAGCAATCTTCAGCCCAGGCGAAGCCCTACGCTCTGGTATTGAGTGCCTCTCTCACTTGGTTGTCAATCAGCGTGGGGGGGGAGGCGGGATTATGTGAGCTGTCCAATCAGGCGCGGCCAATAGATTAAAGGGAGCGCGTCGAAGGGGATTCTGGGTAAACGTCCACGAACGTCATTTCCGGGCTTCGTTCGGCTGCGCGTCCGGTCTCCGGGCGTCCTCGCGTCAGGCATTGTCTCCGTCGGGCTCTTTGTGACGCGTCCTGCCGCGTTCAGTGAGGTGCGGACACCTCGTCACCCCCGAAATGGTGAGTGTGGGGCGCCTGGGCGTCGCGGGGCGCGGGCGGTAGGCCGCCCATGCCCCGGATGGCTGTGCCGACCCCGCGGGGCCGCCGTGGGCCCAGTCCCGGGCCCTCCCCCGCCGCCGCGTCCCTGAGATGCGGGGGGCGATGGCGGGAGGGCCGCGGGGAGCCGCCACCGGCTCGTGGCCGACGTTCTCCGAGCTCTCCAGGGCCAGCCGAAAACCCGAGGGCTTGGTTTTGTTTATTTGCTCTTTCGTTCCGGTGTGGCTTGAACTCAGGGCCCGGGCGCCGTTCCTGGGCTGCTTTCGCTCCAGGCGAGCGCTCTACCCCTTGAGCCACAGCGCCAATTCCAGCTTTCATTTATTTATTTTTTTTTCTGGGTAGTTTATTGGAGCTAAGAGTCTCACAGATTTTCCGGCCCGGGCTGGCTTCGAACCGTGATCCTCAGATCTCAGCCTCCCGAGGAGCGGGGATGACAGGGGTGAGCCACCGGCGCCCGGCCAACCTGGAGAGTTGTCTCAAACCCACCGCCTTGCTGTGTGTAGAAGTGAGAAATCCACCATTCCGGTTCTAACCAAATGCCAACTTCACCTCTTCCCATCATCAACGTTGTGACGTTCATTCTGGGTGTCCAGTGATTGTCTCCCCCGAACCTCGGGCCCCGGAGATGGAGCACAGGGCCATTAAGCACCCTAGCATTGCCCTGTCTATTCCCCTAGACCTCAGACTTGGTATTCTAATGAATGAGCTTTTTTTTTTTTTTTTTAATTTTTTATTTTGTTGGTTGTGGGGCTTGAACTCAGGGGCCTGGGCACTGTCCTTTTTGTGTTCAAGGCTAGCACTCTACCAGTTGAGCCACAGCTCCACTTCCGGCTTTTTCTGTTTATGTGGTACTGAAGACTCGAACCCACGGCTTCATGCATGCTAGGCGAGCACTCGATCACTAAGCCACATTCCCAGCCCTATTTGGGCACTTTTTGGGTCCGGTCGTGGGGCCTGAACTCTGGGCCTGGGCACTATTCCTCAGCTCTTCAGCTCAAGGCTAGCGCTCTACCACTTGAGCCACAGCACCACTTCCGGCTTTAAAAAAAAAAATTTTCTGCTTATGTGGTGCTGAAGAATCGAACCCAGGGCCTCATGCATTCAAGGCAAGCGCTCTACCACTGAGCCACCTTCCCAGCCCTATTTGGGCACTTTTTTTTTTTTTCATTTTATTTTATTTGAGAACATACTGTACAGAGGGGTTACAATTACATGAGTAGGATAATGCATACGTTTCTTGCAGCCTCCTCCTTTGTTTACCCTTCACCTCCCTTCCCAGCCTCCCCCCTCCCCCTTGGGCACTTTTTATATGAGAACCAAGAAGAAAAGAACTCCACAACACAATGTTGAAAAAAGCCTCTTGCTTCTCCACCCCCAAACACTGACATCTTGCCAGGCACCGATGGCTCACAGCTGTAATTCCAGTTATTCCAGAGGCTGAGATCTGAAGATTGCAGTTCAGTGCTAACCCTGGGCAGGAGAGTCTGTAAAATTATCTCCAATTAACCAGCAAGAAGCTGGAAAGTGGAGTTGATTCAAGTGGTAGAGTGCTAATAGAGTATAAAGATAGTAAGTTGAGAGCATCTTAGCCAGGCCCGGAGTTCAAGTCCTAGTACCAGCACAATTAAAAAAACTTTTTTTCCCCAACTTGTGATCCTAACCTTTTGGAAACTTTATGGAGTGAACATGCCTTAAGAAGAGCTTAGGAATGATCCATAATCCATCCCTACAACCATCTATGAATTTATAGTGACAGTCAACCCCTTGGTCACTCCCGTCTTCCTCTTTTTTTTTTTTTTTTTTGTGGGGCTTGAATGCTGGTCTCGGGTGCTGTCCCTCAGCTCTTCAGCTCAAGGCGAGTGCTCTACCACTTGAGCCACAGCGCCACTTCCGGTTTTCTAGTGGTTTATTGGAGATAAGAGTCTCTCGGACTTTTCTACCCCAACTGGCTTGGAACTGTGATCCTCAGATCTCAGCCTCTTGAGTAGCTAAGATGACAGGCATGAGCCACCAAGCGCTCCTCTCTCCTTTTTTCCTTCCTTTCTTTGGTGCTGGTACTGGAACTTAAACTCAGGACCTTTGGCTTCCTTTCAGCTATTTTTTTTTTTTCTCACAGCTGGTGCTCTGCCACTTGAGCCATGTTCCTAGCCCAGCTTTCTTTGTTCTTTTTTTTTTTCTTTTTGTCGGTCATGGGGGCTTGAACTCTGGGCTTGGGCACTGTCCCTGTGCTCTTCAGCTCAAGGCAGCGCTCTACTGCTTGAACCACAGCGCCACTTCTGGTTTTCTAGTGGTTGATTGGAGATAAGTTTCATGGACTTTCCTGCCCGGGCTGGGTTTGAACCACAATCCTCAGATCTCAGCTTCCTGCAGGAAAGTTTTGTTGGCCCTCCCCCTCCCCCCTGAAATATTTGTCTTGGGATTTGTGGAATTTTGCACAAACTTTCAAAAAATAACGTCATGTTGTCCTTGAGTTCCTACTAGAAACATGCCATTGCTCACCTCCTTCCTTCTCACTTGCTATTACTCATCAAACACGCCCCACTTCTCAGTTAGAATGGTGAAATTTTTCAGTGTTAGTACTGTTCAGTTAAATTTGGGGAAGGGGAAACAAGCATCCAGTTTCATCACCTGTTCATGTGATCTTGGAAATTGGGTCCAGTTCTCCATGTATCAAGTTGGGACAGTGTGTATGTCTTCAAACGAGGATGTGTTTTAGAGACTCATTCATCACTCACTATGATGGTCATTCATTTATTCATTCATTTGTCATCTCTTTTTAGCATGTAGCAAAATTCCAAAATCTGAATGAGAGGAGGATTGTAGATTTTGCATACATTTTAAAATAGAACCCTCTTGGTCTCTTAGTGTGGTGGGATTACTTCTGACATTTAATTTCCCTGACAGATGGTCAATTTATTTTATTTTATTTTATTTGTTTGCTCCAGGCTAGCACTCTACCACTTAAGCCACAGCACCACTTCCAGCTTTTTCTGTTTTTGTGGTGCTGAAGAATTGAATCCAGGGCTTCATGAATGCTAAACAAGCACTCTACTGCTAAGCCAGTCAAATGTTTTGAGCAACCTTTTCTGAGGGTACTGTCATGTTAACTCCTGTATGAGTGCAGCTTTCTCAAGCATAGTATTAGACGTACCTTGAAGGAGCAATTACAGCTGATGCAGCTCTCTCTCTCCCACCCTACTCTCTTGCTACTCCTGGGGTTTGAACTCAGGGCTGGTACTTTACACTTGAGCCACAGCTCCACTTCTAGCTTTTTGCTGGTTCATCAGAGATAAGAGTCACATAGATTTTTCTGCCAGGGCAGGCTTCAAATTGCGATCCCTCAGATCTCAGTCTTCTGAGTAGCTAGGATTACACATGTGAGTCACTGGCACCTGTTACACTGTTAACAGTATATCTGAACTATGGTCCACCTTCCTGAGGGGTGTCCTCTTGACCTGTTGCCCTCAGCAATAGTTCATTTCTTCATCTCGTCGGCTGGGGAGGGGCAATGACGAGTGGTAGGAGGAGTCTGATGACAGTCATAGAATGAACAACTTCTCAGGAGTTGTGTATAGACCCCTGGGCTGGCTGTCCTACCCTTCCTCCTCTGTGCACTATGCATGATGCTTTAGGAGGCGCTGACATTTGAGGATGTGGCTGTGAACTTCACCTTGGAGGAGTGGGCTCTGCTGGAACCTGCCCAGAAGAAACTCTACAGAGATGTGATGTGTGAAGCTGCCAGGAATCTGGCATTTGTAGGTAAGGGTGACGACCTTCCTTCAGTCAATTCATTTGTATACTACGTGCTTCTTGATCATCAGCAGTGTTCATTGGTTTATAATAACGGAAGAGAATACTTTCATGAATAAGCAGGGTCTTAATGTGCAATAAATGTTGAATCTCATAAAATTTCTGACTATTCTAATAATTCTTAATGTTTTCCTGGGTCTGTATTTTAGGAATAAAGTGGCAAGACCAGCATATTGAAGACACTGTGAGAAGCCTAAGGTACTCTGCACTCATAAGTGAAAGTGGTGTTTCTGGAGAGAAATGTAGTGTCATTAAAAAATATATGTGTGTATTACAAACACACACACACACACACACACACACATGTTCTTAGGATTTTAGTGCCAGTCCTGGGGCTTGAACTTAGGGCCTAAGTGCTGTCCTTGATCTTTTGTACTCAGGATTGGTGTTCTATCACTTGAGCCACAGCTCCATCTCAGCTTTTTGCTGGCTAACCAGAGATAAGAGTCTCATGGACTTTCCTGCCTGGGCTGGCTTTGCATTGTGATTCTCAGATCTGTGCCTCCTCAGTAGCTAGGATTATAGGCATAAGCCACCAGCATCCGGCTTATTAAAATATATATTTTTTTTGTTTGGGGTTTTTTTTTTTGGTCCGGTCGTGGGGCCTGAACTCTGGGCCTGGGCGCTGTCCCTCAGCTCTTCAGCTCAAGGCTAGCGCTCTACCACTTGAGCCACAGCGCCACTTCCGGCTTTTCTTTTTGCTTATGTGGTGCTGAGGAATCGAACCCAGGGCCTCAGGCATGCAAGGCAAGCGCTCTACCGCTGAGCCACCTTCCCAGCCCCTGTTTGGGTTTTTTTTAAACTGTATTTTTTTGTCTTTTCTTTTTTGGTACTGGGGATCGAACCCAGGATGGTGCACTTGCTAGGCAAGTGCTTTGCCACTGAGCTACATCCCAGCCCCTAAAATATATTTTTATTTGAGTTCTTTGTTGTTGTCAGGGTAACTCTTTATGTTACAAAGTCATTTCACAGTTGTAAGCTAAAGGGATCCTTCAGTCAGTCTCCTGAATACTTGAGACCAATCTACATTGTCATGTAGTGGGTCAAGAGAATTGGAAAACAAAGCCGAACAGATACAATTCATCTTTTAACTTATTTCTTTAACTTTCAACAATTTTATTTAGCTGGACGCAGGTAACTTAGGAGGCTGAGATGTAAGAATGGTTTGAAGCCAGTTGGGGCAGACAAATCTGAGAGACTTTTATTTCCAGTTAACCAGGAAAAAGCTGGAATTAGAAATATGGCTCAAGTGGTACTGTGTCAGCTGTGAATGAAAAAGCCAAGTGAGTGTGTGAGGCCCTGAGTTCAAGCCCTAGTACCAACGCACGTACGCACGCACGCACTGTTTTTAATCCAGAGCCAGGCACCAGTGACTTTCCTATAATCCTAGTCAATTTGGAGGCTAAATACAGGAGGATTATGGTTTGAGGCTAGCTAAAGCAGGAAGTTTTGAGAGACCCCTTATTATCTCCTACCTGGATGCCGTAGTCTCTGCCATCTCAAGTTACATTGTAAGATCTTGGAGATAGGCTATCATAGGCAGGGGTCCTAGAGACTGTCTCAGCACAAGGAGAACTGGACACAGTGGCACATACTCGTGATCCTGGTGATAATAGGAAGCCTAAAAGTAGCTGCATGTGGCTCAGGTGGGTGCCAGGGTAGGAACTGAGAGCATCCCAAAAAACAGTGGAAAATAGGGCTGGAGGCATGGTTTGGTGGCATCATGCCAGCCTAGCAAGCAAGCAAGTGGTGAAAAGCCCCTAGTACTGCCCCCCCAGCACCAAAGTATCCACAAATATACATGAAAATCAAGTCTACTTTAACAAATCAATTTGATTGGAATTAAGAATCCCTTGGGTGATAATAGGGGTGATCAGTCACCTTGCATTTCAAATGTTTTTCTTCATCAGTTCATGCTCAAGAAATTCAAGGAGGGCAACTAGGCACCAGTGGCTCATGCCTGTAAATTTAGCTACTCTGGAGGCTTAAGAATGGAGGATTGTGGTTCAAAGCCAGCCTAGGCAGGAAAGTCTGTGAGATTCTTATCTCCATTGAGCCACCAAAAAGCTGCATGGAGTTGTGGAGTGCTAGCCTTGAGTGAAAAAGCTAAAGAACAGTGACCAGGCCCTGAGTTCAAGCCCCAAGACTAGTACCAAAAAAATAGAACAGCCGGGCGCCGGTGGCTCACGCCTATAATCCTAGTTACTCAGGAGGCTGAGATCTGAGGATCGCGGTTCAAAGCCAGCACGGGCAGGAAACTTCGTGAGACTCTTATCTCCAATAAATCACTAGAAAACTGGAAGTGGGGCTGTGGCTCAAGCGATAGAGCACTTGCTTTGAGCTGAAGAGCACAGGGACAGCGCCCAAGCCCAGAGTTCAAGCCCCCCAACCGACCCCAAAAAAAAAAAAAAAAAAAAAAAAAGAACAGATTCCAAGTGGACATAAAGTCCTTACTTTCCCTGATAGTTTAAATAATATAAGTAATTCATATTAATTAATAATTAATTAATATAAAATTAATAGGAAGCAATCTTACTGATTTTTTTTTTTTTTTTTGGGGGGGTCCGGTCGTGGACCTGAACTCTGGGCCTGGGCACTGTCCCTCAGCTCAAGGCGAGCGCTCTACCACTTGAGCCACAGCGCCACTTCTGGCTTTTTTCTGTTTATGTGGTGCTGAGGAATTGAACCCAGGGCCTCATGCATGCAAGGCAAGCGCTCTACCACTGAGCCACCTTCCCAGCCCCTTACTGATAATTTTTTAACATTTGTTTTTTGGTCCCAGTACTGGGGCTTGAACTTACAGCCTGGGTGCTGTCCTTTAGCTCTTTTACTCAAGACTTTACCACTTGAGCCTGTAGCTCCACTTCAGGCTTTTTGGTATTCATTGGACATGAGTCTCTCAGACTTTTCTGCCCAGACTGGCTTTGAACTGAGACCCTCAGATCTCAGCCTCCTGAGTTGGATTACACGCGTGAACCAACCCAGCTAACGTTCATTAAAAAGAAATTAGCATACATTTACTATACCGAGGTTTCCATGTTGTATTTCCATATGTGCATATCCTATACTTTGCCTCATATCCTCTCTTCTGCTTCTCATTTTTTCCAGCTGTCATATAATAGAGAGATTCTGGGAAGGAAAAGAAGGCCAACAGTCTGGAGAAATCTTCCGCCAGGTTCTAGAACTCAGGCTGAGTAAGGAAACCGGAGGCAACTCCTGCGAATGCAGTGTGTGTGGACAAGCCTTCGCTGATGCGACGCCCCTTCAGCCACACCTGAGTGCACACACTTCACGCAGTCCACGTGAGCATCGGGAGGAAGGGAAAAACCCAACTCAAGATCAGCCAGATGGCGAAGCTGTCAGCGAGCGCCACGCGCCGCCAGCGTCTGGAAAGACTCACCCTGGAGAGAAGGCTTGTGAACGTAGAGACTCTGGAAAGTTCTCTATTTCTCCAGCAAGCCTTCAGAAGCACACGGGAACCCACATGAACAGAGAGCCTTATACATGTAAGGTGTGTGGAAAAGCTTTTCATTCTCCCAGCTCTTTTCAAGCTCATAAAGGAACTCACACCGGAGAGAAGCCCTATCGATGTGGACAATGCGGGAAAAGTCTGAGTACTCCCAGATCCCTTCAAATACACGAAAGAATGCACACTGGCGAGAGGCCGTATACATGCCAGCAGTGCAGCATGGCCTTCAGTTGCCCGAGTTCTTTGCAAAGACACCAAAGAACTCACACGGGTGAAAAACCCTACCAGTGTAAAAAATGCAGCAAAGCCTTTAGTCGTTCGAGTTCCCTTCGAATCCACGAAAGAACTCACACGAAAAACAGCGCGTCCTGTGAATGTAAGGAATGTGGCAGAACTTTCTTCTCCCTCTCCAAGTTCCAAAGGCACATGATGCTTCACACTGGCGAAGGCCCTTACAAGTGCCAAGAATGTGGAAAATCCTTCACGAGCCCCACGTACTTTCACATCCACGAGAAGGCACACAGTGCAAAGAAGCCCTACGAATGCCAGCAGTGTGGGAAGACCTTAAGTAACCCCACTTCCTTTCAGAGACACGTAAGAACCCACACCGGAGAGAAGCCCTACGAGTGCGCGGAGTGTGGGAAAGCCTTCAACTGCCAGAGTTCCTTCCAAAGGCACGAAAGAACGCACACAGGCGAGAAGCCCTACGTGTGCCAGAAGTGTGGGAAGACCTTCAGTCGCTCCACCTACCTGCAGATCCACACGCGGGTTCACAACGGGGAGAAACCCTACGAGTGCAAGCAGTGCGGCAAAACATTCACCAGCTCCAGCTCCATCCGGGTCCATAAAGGAACGCACACTGGACAGAGACCTTATCGTTGCGAAGAATGTGGGAAGACCTTCACTTGTTCCAGTTCTTTACGAAGACATGCGATCGTTCATACCGGAGAAAGACCCTACGAGTGCCCGCAGTGTGGGAAAGCCTTCAGCCGGGCCAGTTCCTTTCAAAGGCACGAGCGCATGCACACGGGGGAAAAGCCCTACGAGTGCTCAGAATGTGGCAAAATCTTCAGTAGTTTAGGTTCCTTTCGCGTCCACGAAAGAACCCACACGGGAGAGAAACCCTACGAATGTGCCGAGTGTGGGAAAGCCTTCATCTGTTCTAGTACCTTCCGGAAACACGAACAGACTCACACTGGAGAAAAACCCTACAAGTGTAGCAAGTGTGGTCAAGCATTCAGTCGTTCTAGAAATTGTCAAATCCATGAAAAAGCTCATAGCACACGGAAATGAAATGTCAGCCTGACTTGGTTTGTTCCAGAATTTCCAGTTTCTAGGACACTGGGAGACGGTACAGTGGTGAGAAACCCCACAGAAATTGTGGGGTGCGGTTCTGGTGTCTCAGTCCAAAGCCCACGAAAGAAGACATCTGAGGGAAAAAAAAACCGATATCCTGAGCATGCCTCGCCTTTTACCGGCCTTCTGTGAGTATTTCGGCTGTTTTGTTCCCTCTTTCTATACCTCATGATTTTTTTTTCCTTACTTGAATATTTTAGATACTGTATATTAGCAGTTATAGCTCAGGGCTCTTGGTTGGTATATAGTTCAGTAGCAGAGAGTTTCTCTAGAGTGTAAATGGCCCTGGGTTCAAATTTTAGCACTGGAATAGAAAAGAAAACATACTGTCCCTCTATCTCTGGGGCTTGCCAGTTTTTGCTATTTTTTTTCTTTTGTTGTTGTTGTTATTGTTGTTTTCTTGTGCCAGTCCTGGGGGCTTGAACTTCAGGCTTGGGTGTTGTCCCTGAGTTGTTAGTAGGCTAGTGCTCTACTACTTGAGCAATAGCTCCACTTTTTTCTTTGTCTTTTTGGTGGTTAATTGGAGATTAGTGTTTCAAAAATTTTCTTGTCCAGGCTGGAACCACAGCCTCCTGAGTAGTCTTACCATACACACGTGCACACACACACACAAATTTGCTTTTTTTTTTTTAGTTTGTGTATGTGTGCACACGTGCTTGAATTCAGCCTGGGCGCTAACCCTGAGCTTTGTGCTCAAAGCTAGCACTCTACTACTTGAGACAAGGCTCAACTTCTGGCTTTTATGATGATTAATTGGAGAAAAGATCCTCATGGACTTTCCTGCTGGGTTGGCTTCGAACCACAATCCTCAGATGTCAGCCTCCTGAGTAAATAGGATTACAGGTTTGAACCACCAGCACCTGAATGTCTTTACTACTTTTATTTCTATTTATTTATTTATTTATTTATTTATTTCAGTTCTGGGCTTGGGCTCTGGGCCTGGGCACTGTCCCTCAGCTCTTCAGCTCAAGGTGAGCACTTGGTTTACTGGAGATAAGAGTCTCACAGACTTTCCTGCCTGGGTTGGCTTTGACCCATGATCCTCAGATCTCAGCTTCCCGAGTAGCTAGGATTATAGGCTTGAGCCACGGATGCCTGGCTTTTTACTATTTTTGGAAACTCAAATCTAGGACTGGGCATGTGGCTCAGTGGCAGAGTGCTTGCCTAGCATGCATGAGGTCCTGGGTTCGATTCCTCAACACCACATACACAGAAAAGCCAGAAGTGGTGCTGTGGCTCAAGTGGTAGAGAGCTAGCCTTGAGCAAAAGAAGCTCAGGGACAGCATCCAGGCTTGAGTTCACAAGCCCCAGGTCGGGGCGGGGGTGGGGGTGGGGGTGGGGTGGAATCTAGACTGGGCCTCAGCAGGCAACCTTGTGGTGGTGCGGGAGACCCACACGCTGCCCGACTGCGCTGCCGCTCTGGCCCTGCTCCGCGGTATATTTGTTGTTGCTACTAAACGCACACACCATTTGGCGCTTCTGGCAGCCTTCTGAAAGACTTCACTGCTACTGACTTGACTGAATTTGCTGCTAGGGCTGCCCTGGCCACTGGCAAAGTCCCATCTGAAACTGTCGGCAGTGTTGTGCAGACTTCTTCAGATGCCGCCTACGTGGTAAGACTTGTTTGTGAGTGGGGGTCCTAACTGAGCTCTGTGCCTTTACTGTCAAGAGGCTCGGTGGCTCCCGTTTCTAGTCTGTTGTGAGTGGGCGTCAAGAACTCTGTGTTAAAGATGTAGACGTTGTCTTTATGTGGAAGAATGCCAGTCTCCCTACTGTGTCTGAAACTTGTGTTTTGGAACCAACTTTGGATTTTGGAACCAACTTTGGATTCACTCTCAAGCTGGAAGATACTTTGTGGGCAGGACTGGCAGATCAGCAAGGTAAGCTCCCCCGTGGGACTTTCTGTTGTGCAGCAGAGAACCTTGCTGCGTGCACAGCATAAAATCAGCAGAGATGACTGACAGATACAGCAGAGATGGAAAGCTGCTAATGATGCTGGCTGCTTTAGTGAGGAAATGGCACCAATTGAAGTGAAAACTCAGAAAGGCAGACAGACAATGCAAATGGATCACTCCCAGCTCCAGACAACCCTGGAGCAGTTACAGACACTTCCTAACTTTTTTCTTTTTTCTTTTTGGTGGGTCGTGGGACTTGACTCTGGGCCTGAACACTGTTCCTCAGCTCTTCAGCTCAAGGCTAGCCCTCTACCACTTGAGCCACAACGCCACTTCGTTTTCTGAGTGGTTTATTGGAGATAAGAGTCTCTCGGCCTTTCCTGCCTGGGCTGGCTTTGAACCACCATCCGCAGATCTCAGCCTCCTGAGTAGCTGGGATGACAGATGTGAGCCACCAGCACCCAGCAAAAAACAAACAAAAACTGTAACTTTTAACACTGCTGGCAAGAGTTGAGAATGACTTTGTGTCTGGAGGGGTATTCATCCTGTCCCTGCCGTCAGTGGGGCCATGAAGAAAGCCAGCCTGAGCCTTAAGGACCTGGATTTAATGAGGTGAAGGAAGCTTTTGTTCCCCTGTCCCTGGCTATCCAGGTGAGCTTGGATCATGACCCAAGGAAAACCAGTGTGCATGCTGGAGCCGTTGGCTTGGATCACCCTCTGGGAGGATCGGGATCATGAATTACTGCACGCCTGGCTTATGAATTAAGGTGCTGCGGTGGGAAGTATGCAGTTGGATCAGCTTGCGTTGGAGGTGGTCAAGGCATCATCGTTATCATTGAGAACACAGCCTGATGAGCCCGCGAGTCCAGTGCCCTACTCCCACATGGCCAGGCCACAGGGGAGAAGGGGACCTGCAGAGCAGCTTCCACCCGCCACATCCCGCCACAGAATTAGACTTTGATGCAGCCCTACTGAGGCCAGGTGCGTTACCATGCAAGAACCCCTGTCATAGGCAGTAGGAACACTCGAATCCGCCCAGTCTAATACACGATGTGATCCTGAGCTAAAGCGCAACAGTCCATGGCCTTGAAGGAAGCCTGTCTTTGCCAAATAACCACTGTGTATATCTTTAGATACTAGGATTACAAGGAAATTGAATGACTGTTGTCTTAACTGAAAAAATCTACCACCACAATAGGTCCCTATACAATGTTAAGTCGACTGATTTTGCTTCTCAAAATATCACAGCTGTTGGACCACCAGCAGTAGCCCCAGGTCAAGAACTATAAAAACTATAAAAACTATTAAAACTATAAAAGTTGCTTGTTGGTGCTTCGTTGTTTTCAGTAGTATTAAGGGGAGTAAATTGCTTCACAGATGAATCCACTTACAGCTTATATGAAGGTGTTGTTACTCAGTGAAGTGTTTGGTATTGTATTGCTCATAATTGTCTTAGAATATGTATATATATATATCACACGCCATATTCAAGTATGTGTGTATATGTTTATATATTCTGTATACTATATATGCATGTATACGTATAGAATATGGAATATTGATATCTATGGAATATAGATGTGTACATAGAATAGCATATGTGTATAGATATATCTGTGTATATTTCCTCGCAGCTATCTACCTGCAGTGCTGGGGAATAGAACTTTGTGCTCTGCCACTTGTAGCCATCTCTCCATCTCCTACAGATTTTCTTCAGCAGACTTGACGTTGACCACAGCACTATTTCCCCAGGCTTGATGCACTTGGATGCTTTGATCATTTTACCACTTTGTTGGGGGAGGGAGCAGATTCACAGAGTTCCTCATATCCTGTTAGAGGTGGTATCCAAGGATAGTGCATGAAGGGTTATTATTATTTTTCTAATAAGATGATGTCATTGGCTTTGTGGCATGTGTATGGCGGGGATTCCACCCAGGGCCTTGCACACTAAGCTAAGCTACACTCCTCAGCCTGCCTTGCATTTTTGTGTGTACATGGGGCTCTGGTCCTATTAACCAGTTTCCTTCCCATATGTCGTCAGTACAGCTCTTCACTGCTTTTACAGTCTCTGTACTTCTTAAAAATTTAGTGCTGGGTGTTGCTCTTTTGCTTGCTAAGTATAGTGTAGTAAGTCTACCATGGTAATGTAAATTACTTGACTAAAATGTCCGATTTCTAGGGTTTGATCACCTGCACTACCAAAAACCATAAAAATTCCCAGCTATTTAGAATTCACAGAAAAAAAATACATTTCCTCATCACAGCAATGACAAGATGCAGATCTACCCAGCCACTGTGAGCGCTCCTCACTTGCTGCTGTAGGATTTGTACCCTGCCAAATGGACCTTTGCCACATGGAAACTCTCCAGAGTCTAAAGCCCAGCAATCACAAGACAGAGTATTAATGGTGAACCGTCTGTGTGGGGAGATGACACATCCAGCCTAAGGTTGTGTCCAAATAAATGATGGGTGGAGCCATTACTTGGGAGATTCTATAGCCAGATGGATAAGGGATGAGCTAGTGATCAAGTGCTATATACCAAACACTGCTTCACAGTTTGGGTTTGTTTGTTTTTTGCTTTGAAGATCAAGTGCACAGCAAGAGTTGAGGTGAGAGATTAGAACACTACCGTGATGTGGCTGGGGCAGAGGCACTGAAACCACCAGAACAGAAGGTGGAGCGCGGGGGCCAATGACAGATGTCCAGCAATGGCCAGCTTCAGAGACAAAAGGCCCGCCCCCTCTGGTCATTCTGTGTGCTGCATTGGACAGTCCTCACCCTGCACCTCCAATGAGAGAGGACATTTGGTCTTGGCCTGCTACGGCCTGTAGTAGATGGTAAATAACCAATAGCTGCATTGGTTACAAAGCAAGGTTCAGAAAGTTTCTGCTACAGAGGGATGAGGAGTGGGGAGGGAAAGTGGGTAGAGTCTCAACAATGGCAAAGGTAGGAATAAAAGATTCTATATTACAGTCTATGATGAAGAATGTTAGTGCAGGCTGTGTGTGTGTGTATACTGTGGCTTGAACTCAAGGCCTCACACTTTCACTGTTTTTTGTTTTTTGCTAAGGCGGGTGCTCTACCACTTGAACCACAAGCTGCACTTCCAACTTTGGGGGGGGGTGGTTCCTGGGGCTTGGAACTCAGGGTCTGGGTGCTGTCTTTCTCTCTGCCCCCTCTCCCCCCCAGGCTGGCACTCTACCACTTCTGGCTTTTTGCTGGTTAGTTGGAGGTAAGTGTCTTATGGACTTTTCCTGCCCTGGCTGGCTTCAAGCCTTGATAATCAGGTCTCAGCCTCCTGAATAGCTAGGATTACAGTACAGGTGTGAGCCACAGGCACTTGGATAGTATCGGGGACTTTCTGAATCATGGTTACAGTTCCACGAAGGCCTGAGAGCTTTAAGCCAAAACCTTCTTTCCTGGAAGGCAGCAGAGTCATTTCACTGTGGCCTTACCGGAATTCCCGGGTCTTCCCAGTTCCCAGCCCCATCCATAAAGTAGAAACTGCCTTGAATATTCTGGAAAGCTCCAGCGTCCCACCCAGAGGGCGGAGTGGTTTCTGTTTAGAAGTAAACAGATGCTGGTGCTGGTGGCTCAGTCCTGAGATCTCTAGATCTCGGTTCAAAGCCAGCCTGGGCAGGAAAGTGTGAGACGCTGATCTCCAATTAATCACTAAAAAGTGGGAAGTGGAGCTGTGGCTCACGTGGTAGAACGCCAGCCTGGAGCCACAAAGCTCAGGGACAGCGCCCAGGCCCCGAGTTCAAGCCCAGGCACGGGCGCGCGCACGCGCGCACACGCACACACACACACACACACACACCCCCTGGGATGAGGCCCAAACGCCGGCGTCGATGGTTGCCCTGGAAACGGGGCGGGCACTAGGAATTGTCTAGCGGACTAAACCGGAAATGGGTGTGGCGTTGCCCGGGAAGGAGGGCGGGGGGTGCTTTACGGCTCTCTCGGCCGACCTTTCGCGTCTTTCCGGACGCAAATGGCTGTGGGGCGGGAGCGATGGGCCGCCGAGACTGCGGACGGACGCGGGACATGGTGCGTGCGGGCGTGGCGGGGCCCGGGCCCGGCCTCCCCGCGTCAGCCCCGGGGTCGGCCCGGGTCTCGGGGTTACGGTGGGGCCGCGGCGGCAGCCGAGCCCCGGGGGGTCCCGCCCGGCCCCGGGACCGCGCGGGCGGCTGAGGGTCGCGGGTCGGGTGGGTGGAGGGAGGCTCGGCCTCGCGTGGGGGTGCGGGGGTGCGGCTAGTGTGGGATTCGGGCTCCCCACGCAGGCCAGGCCGGCCTTAAACTCAAGATCCTCCTGCCTCAGCCCCCCCCCCCCCCCCCCCGTCCTCAGCCCCCCCCCCGACCCCGCCCTCCGCCACCCCGCCCTCCGCCCCCCCACCCCGCCCGCGGCCTCAGCCCCCCCCCCCGACCCCGCCCGCGGCCTCAGCCCCCCCCCCCACCCCGCCCGCGGCGCCCGCGGCCTCAGCCCCCCCCCCGACCCCGCCCGCGGCCTCAGCCCCCCCCCCGACCCCGCCCGCGGCCTCAGCCCCCCCCCCCGACCCCGCCCGCGGCCTCAGCCCCCCCCCCCCCGACCCCGCCCGCGGCGCCCGCGGCCCCTCAGCCCCCCCCCACCCCGCCCGCGGCCTCAGCCCCCCCCCCCCCCGACCCCGCCCTCAGCCCCCCCCCCACCCCGCCCGCGGCCCCTCAGCCCCACCCCCACCCCGCCCGCGGCCTCAGCTGTAGGACTTGAACTCTGGGCCTGGGCGCTGTCCCTCAGCTCTTCAGCTCAAGGCTAGCACTCTACCACTTGAGCCACAGCGCCACTTCCGGCTTTTTCTGCTTATGTGGTGCTGAGGAATCGAACCCAGGGCCTCAGGCATGCAAGGCAAGCGCTCTACCACTGAACCACCTTGCCAGCCCTCCATTTATTTTTTTCATGGAACTTTTATCAACGTTTACTGTCAAGGTCTGAGGCGTTGGGGTTCCTGGGTAGGGGTCGCGAAATCACCGGGACACAGGGGATGAAGAGTGCAAATAGCAGTTGCCACAGCATGCTGTGCTTTATTGCTAGTGGGTATTTAAAAGACAAGCATTATCTTTGCCAAGATTTGGTCTGGAGACATTCACACAAAGAATTTTAACAGATACAATTTTACTTTAACTAGGAGACAATGTCTTTGTATATTTTTATCTAAACTATTTTAGAACAAGCTCAAACCACTTCCCCAATCAGGAAAATGCTTGACTAGCTGTCGTCTATGCTTAAGTAAGCAGAAGAGCTACTTCCTCAGCTCCCTGGAGTCTGTGACTTGTGCTTTGAGATAAGGAGAGAGAACACTTTCCCTCTCTGGCCCAGCATGCCAAGAGCTTTCCACATACACAAACACAGTCCTCAGATAATCCTGCGGCCGGAGCCTCCATCATTCTGCTCCTCCAACACAGACCCTGAGTGTTCACAATTTAGAATTATATATATATATATATATATATATATATATACACACACACATATGTATATATGTGTACACACATTATTGCTATTATAAAGGTGATGTACAAGGATTATATAATTCATTTTTATCCTTGTACTTAGAGCTGAGTCTGTTCTATTACTCATTTCTTTTTTTTTGGGGGGGGGGGGGTCCGGTCGTGGGGCCTGAACTCTGGGCCTGGGCGCTGTCCTTCAGCTCAAGGCTAGCGCTCTACCACTTGAGCCACAGCGCCACTCTCGGCTTTTTTCTTTTTGCTTATGTGGTGCTGAGGAATCGAACCCAGGGCCTCAGGCATGCAAAGCAAAGTTCTCTATCACTGAGCCACCTTCCCAGCCCCGATTACTCATTTCTTAAGAGATAATGTCTTTTTGCATAAGATAAAGTCTCTACTGTGTAATGTTCTAATTTTTTTCTCCTGTTTAATCATATATTTTTGTTGTCTTTTTTTTTTTTTTTTTTTCTGTGTGTGCCAGTTCTGAGGCTTGAACTCGGGGTCGAGGTGCCATCCCTTAGCTTTTTTAGCTCAAAGCTAGCATTCTACCACTTGAGCCTTCTGGGGTTTTTTGGTAGTTAATTAGAGATAGAGTCTCATGGTCTTTCCTGCCCAGGCTGGATTTGAACTGTGATCTTCAGATCTCAGCAGTCTGAGTAGCAGGGCCAATGGCACCCTGCTTGTGGACATTTTTTTTTATCCCAGGTTGAATGATGGGATTAGAATAATGTGCCTCCTCTTGATCAGTCTATATATTCAATGAAATACTGGAGATAATAAAAATATCAGGAATGTGACCACCGCATCTAGTCAACATGTGCCTCATGAGGTGCTGCGCGCCATTATGGGATAGTAACCAAATGAAATAGAAGTTTTTCATGCTAGGATTCAATGGTGTTAAAGTTTGTTTCGTCGTCCGGCATGCATGTTTTTCATATCTACAAGGTGAGATGCATGCATCCATTAGGGAGCAGTAGGGCTCATAGTGACCAGAGTAAAAATGTACAGATCAGTTCCATAAGCTCTTATTGCTGGTAATTCTTGAGGAGGTGAATGTGTCCCGATTACCACATCCTTTTCTTCATGATAAATGTTTGGAGGCCAAAGAATTACGTATGTGAACTCTTCATGAGTTCATTACACACTCCTGTGTATCAGGTGACTGCTTCCTTCCGTCAGCATGCCTGGATTGTTTCAGGACTCCTTCACCTTCGACGATGTGGCTGTGAACTTTACCCCTGAGGAGTGGGCTTTGCTGGATATTTCCCAGAAGGAACTCTATAGAGATGTCATGTGGGAAACCTTGCAGAACTTGTCCTTTCTTGGTAAGGATGAAAAGCTTTCACTTAATTAAATGGATGTGTTCTTTTCCTTTGGAGATTGGGAGTTTGGATCAGTCACTGTCACTAAAGTACATCCTCCGTCTTATTGCCTCCCAGGGTTTTCTCTCCCCTCTCTTCCCCAGTCTTCCCTTCACTTCCCTGCTCCCTCCTTTTCCTCTGCGGATTGATTCTAGCCCCTCCCGCACTAAGCAAGGCAAATGTTTCATTGCTGACCTAATTCTAAATTGAAAAAATGTATCTCTTGCCCATCAGAGATTTTCCAGTATTAAACATGGAAAAGGAATACTTCGGTGAATAAAACAGGATTGTTCCCAGACCATCATAAAACTACAGCACGATCATTTACGCTTTTCTCTATGTATTTTAGGCGAAAAGTGGGAAGATGAGAACTTTGATGATTGGAGCCAAAATTCAGGAAGGTATTTAAGGTAATTTTAGGCACAATGCCAGTAATGTGCTAGAAGGGAATCTCTTTTGTTTTGTTTTGTTTTGTTTTTTGGTGGTGGTGGGACCTGAACTCGACCTGGGTGCTGTCCCTCAGCTCTTCAGCTCAAGGCTAGCGCTCTACCACTTGAGCTACAGCTCCACTTCCGGCTTTTTCTGCTTATGTGGTGCTGAGGAATCAAACCCAGGGCCTCATGCAGGCAAGGCAAGCGCTCTACCACTGAGCCACCTTCCCAGCCCCTAGAAGGGAATCTTGATTTGACTTGTTTATTTGACACACAGGGGTCTGGCTGTGTTTATCAGTGGCCTCCCCACTTCTGGGCTCAAACTAGCAACCTACCTCAGTCTCTAACAGGTGGGATGACAGGCAACTGGCACTGCACTGGTATTATGACATAAAAATTTACAAATTGGGATGGGATTGGAGTTGTGGTTCAGTGGTTAGAGTGCTAACCAATCAGTGAAACTGAGTTTGAGTCCTGGTTTGGGACCTAATATGTAAAAAAAAAAAAAAGAAAAAAAAGCAAAATTACAAATAAACAACATGTTAAGTTTCCAGTTTATTTGTAAAATGTTTTTCACTAGCAATAGTTTGTGATACATGTTTTCAGAGATTACACAGTAGCAAAACATATTAAGAAACCACATCAAGTTGGGCTCTGGTGGCTCACCCCTGTAATCCTAACTACTCAGGAAGCTGAGATCTGAGGATTGGGGTTCAAAGCCAGCTTGGGATGAAAGTCCATGAGACTTTTTTTTTTTTTTTTTGTCGGTCGTGGGGCTTGAACTCTGGGCCTGGGCGCTGTCCCTCAGCTCTTCAGCTCAAGGCGAGCGCTCTACCACTTGAGCTACAGCGCCACTTCCGGTTTTCTGGTGGTTTATTGGAGATAGGAGTCTCACGGTCTCTCCTGCCCGGGCTGGCTTTGAACCGCGATCCTCAGATCTCAGCCTCCTGAGTAGCTAGGATTACAGGCGTGAGCCACCAGCGCCCGGCTAGTCCATGAGACTCTTATCTCCAGTAAACCACCAGAAAACTGGAAGTGGCGCTGTGGCTCAAGTGGTAGAGCGCTGGCCTTGAGCTGAGAGACAGTGCTCAGGCCCAGAAGCTCAAGCCCTATGACTGACAAAAAGAAAAGAAAAGAAGCCATATCTGTCATCAACTGCCTGTGACTCACACTTAAAATCCTATTAATTCAAGAGACTGAAATCTGAGGATATTGGTTTGAAGTCAGCCCAGGCAGAACAGTTCAAGCCACTCATCTCCAATGCTGGTTAATTGGAGGTGTAGCACAGCTGGTAGAGCATCAGCTATGAGTGAAAAAGCTGAACCAGAGTGTAAGGCCCCTTCAGTTCAAGCCCCAGGACAGCCAAAAGTAAAAACCAAGCAAATAAAAATTAACAAAATGCCACACGTACATGGTTTCACGTTAACAATGAGTTTGTGTAGTATATAACATGACTGGTGCGGGATCCAAATAGATAGTAAAATGGTTGTTTCAGTGAAATAAGTAATATTCCTATAATCTCACAGTTTACTCACTTTTTGTGTTCATTACAAGAGCCAATGGATAGTATTTAAAAGAATCTCAAATATAGTACTGGTTTATTAGCTATTCTTTAAAACATACATTAAATCTCTAGAATTGTTCATATGGTGGTTTGTGTCCTCAGATGTACATTTTCCTATTTTCCTTCTCCCAGCTCCTATTTACCACTGTTGTGTTCTTTAATAGTATATTTGAGTGGTTGCACATGTGAGATCCTGCACTATTTGTCTGTGTCTGACATTTTGTTTTAAATTTTTACTGTTGTTGTAAAGGTTACAGTTGGACAGTGCCTGTCCCTTGCTCTCATCTGGTTTTCCCCTCCCATCTCCACTCGCAGGTTGTATATAGTTCATTTTTAGCAGTTTGGGTATAGTAACCCTTAGTTGTGTGGATATGATTTGCCTCCTCTGTACGGTTGATGTTCTTTTTTTAATGAGTTTTTTATTGTGAGAATACTGTACAGAGAAGGGGTTACAGTTACATGAGCAAGGTACATTTCTTATCAAGCATGGTTGTCTCCTCCTTTGTTTTTCCCCTACCATCCCTTCCCTCCCATCTCCACAACTACACTCCCCCCACGCCCCACCTAAATTGTAAAGTTGGTTTTTCCACATAGCGCCTTGTACATCTCATTGTTGCAATGGGTCCACCTGCATCCCAGTTTAAACAATTTTTTTTCCCTTCTCCTCCCCAAATTATACCAACATCAAATACAGTGGAAACAGGGCAGTTGATGTTGAGGCTTTCTCTCCAATGTAAACGTATTGACATTATTTTTTTCTTTTTCTTTTTGGTGGTACTGGGTTTTGAACTCAGGACCTCACACTTACTAGGCAAGCATTCTACCACTTAAGCCATTCTGCATCCCTTTTTGCTTTTGTTATTTTGGGGATAGAGTCTTGTGTTTTTGCCTGGGATATCAAAAACAGTGACCCTCCTATTTATGTCGTCTGCATAGCTTGGATTACAGTTATGTAACACAATATTCAGCTTGAAGGCTGAGATGAGGTCTTGCTAATGTGTTCATTCTGGTTTGGACTGAGATTTGCCAGTCTCCACCTTAAGTAACTGAAATAGCAAATGTGAGCCAGCAAGTCCCATTTTTATTTAGTCTTAAAAAAAATGGCCTTGATTTGTTATGGAGGCTGATCTGAAAAGATGCCTAGTCTCATGTAATTATTTTGTCATTATCTTAACTAGACTACAGGCATGTACTTCTGCACCAGGCAGATTTATGTAAAACCATCCATGCATGCCAGAAATATTTCCCACTTATCTGATGCATAATGATTTTTTTGATATGTAGTTGAATTTTACATTTATTGAGCATTTTTGTATAACTGTGATCCCAGCTCTTGAGATGTAGGTTTTTTTGTTTTTGTTTTAAATCTTGTTATGACTTATGTGGCTTATATATCATTGGGAGGTTTTGTTTGCTTCATAAAAATCTTTTGGAACAATTTCTTTTTGCTCTTTTTTGTTTGTTTGGCCAGTCCTGAGACTTGAACTCAAGCCTGAACACTGTCCTTGAGCTTCTTTTGCTCAAGGATGCACTCTTCCACTTGAGCCACAGCGCCACTTCTGGCCTTTTCTGTGTATGTGGTACTAAGGAATCAAATCCAGGGCTTCATACATGCTAGGCAAGCACTACCACTAAGCCACCTTCCCAGCCCTTATAAGCACTTTTGTAAAGCACCACTTCTGCTTTTCTGGTGGTTTATTGGAGATAAAAGTCTCACAAACTAGCCGGGCGCCAGTGGCTCACGCCTATAATCCTAGCTACTCAGGAGGCTGAGATCTGAGAATCAAGGTTCAAAGCCAGCCCGGGCAGGAAAGACCGTGAGACTCCTATCTCCAATAAACCACTAGAAAACCGGAAGTGGCGCTGTAGCTCAAGTGGTAGAGCGCTCGCCTTGAGCTGAAGAGCTGAGGGACAGCGCCCAGGCCCAGAGTTCAAGCCCCATGACCGACAAAAAAAAAAAAAAAAAAAGTCTCGCAAACTGCCAGGCGCTGGTGGCTCATGCCTGTAATCCTAGCTACTCAGGAGGCTGAGATCTGAGCATCTCGGTTGAAAGCCAGCCCGGGCACGAAAGTCCGTGAGACTCTTATCTCCAATAAACCACCAGAAAACCAGAAGTGCCTCTGTGGCTCAAGTGGTAGAGTGCTAGCCTTGAGCTGAAGAGCTGAGGGACAGCGCCCAGGCCCAGAGTTCAAGCCCCACCACTGACAAAAAACAAAACAAAACAAAACAAAAAAACAAGGTCTCACAGACTTTCCTGCCCCGGCTGGAAATTCTGATCTGTGTTGTTGCTTTCTTAAAATTTTGGGTTCAGTTTGTTCTCCATCTACTTCTTTGAGGTGTAATAAGTCAATTTAGGATTTTTCTTTTCCTTGTAGGCAGTTATCATCAGACATTTCTAGTTAGAAGTGTTTGTGCTGCATCCATGGGTTTCAGTTTTTCTGTTTGCATTTGTTTCAAGATGCCTTTTGTATCTGTGTGCATGTACCAGTCTTGAACTCAGGGTCTTGGCACTCAGGGTCTGGCTAGAATGTTGAACCACAGCACCCCACCTCTGGGTTTTTTTTAATTTTTCATTCATTGATTGGGAGCATATTACTAAATTGCAAACTATTTACGAAGTGTCTGAGATTGTCCTTGTTATTTCTGTTTTCCTGTCCTGCCTTCCTAGGGTCCTCAGTGTCCCATGTGAAAATGTTAGTATATTGATGAAACTTTGAAAACAAGTAAAAAACGAGCTCAGCTTCAAAATCAACATTCATCATTCACCAACTAATTTTGGTGAAATAAAAGTAAAGTATGTTAAATATATATTTACATGAAATAGATGTTTTCTCTACAAAATAGAAACCAAAACTCCACATGTGAAAATTATTTTGTTTCAATTATATTAGAGACTATAATTTCTATATCATTAAACCTACATTTTACTTGATAGTAGTAAAAATAATATTATATATTAGTAGATATAGTATCAATAATAAACCAAAAATAATGTTTCTCAATATTTTCTTCTGGTAGTCCTGGGGCCTGAACTCAGGGCCTGGGCATTGTTCCTAAGCTTTTTTGCTTAAGACTTGAGTCACAGCTCCACTTCTTTGCTAGTTTATTGCGGATAAGAGTCTCTTATAATAAGTTTCCTGCCCAGGCTGGCTTTGAAGTGCAAACCTCAAATCTCAGCCTCCTAAGTATCTAGGGTTACAGGCAAGAGTTACTGGTGCCTGGTCTGTTTGTCAGTTCGTAAAGCAATAACGTTCTAGGGAAAGCCTATGAAAGTAGAGAACATTGCCGCTGTAAAGAAATGACTAATCATGCATGCATGAGGCCCTGGGTTCGAGCAAAAAGAAAAAAGCCGGGGGGCTGGGAAGATGGCTCAGTGGTAGAGCGCTTGCCTTGCATGCATGAGGCCCTGGGTTCGATTCCTCAGCACCACATAAGCAAAAAAGAAAAAAGCCGGAGGTGGCGCTGTGGCTCAAGTGGTAGAGCGCTAGCCTTGAGCTGAAGAGCTGAGGGACAGCACCCAGGCCCAGAGTTCAGGCCCCACGACCGGACCCAAAAAAAAAAGAAAAAAGCCGGAAGTGGTGCTGTAGCTCTAGTGGTAGAGCACTAGCCTTGAGCTGAAGAGCTGAGGGAGAGCACCCAGGCCCAGAGTTCAGGCCCCACGACCGGACCCAAAAAAAAAAAAGAAAAGAAAAAGAAATGACTAACCAGATTTAAAGCTTACTCTGAGCAAAAAAACCCAAAAAAGTCCTATTGGAGTAAAACCTTCGAAATACAGTGTGCCTGGAATGTTCATGTGTCACTCATCTCTAATAGGTATTCTGTTCCTGACACTGGACACAAACAGCGTGAGATGCTGGAATGTGAAGAGAAACCATGGAACTGTGAGCAATATGGGAAAGTTTTCCATAATCACCGTGCCTTTCAAAGAAGTGCAAAAACTCACTCTGGAGAGAAGCTCTGTGAATGTAAAGAATGTAGGAAATCCTCCATTCCTCTTAAAACCCAGAGATGGCACACAGTGACGCTCACTAGGGACAGAGGTTGTGGAGGTCTCCTGTGGAGCAAAGCCTTTCCCTGTACCAGTTCACTGGCAGTGCACAAAAGTGCTGAAACCAGAGGGAGTCCAGGTGAACTTGAGGGTGATGGGAATGAACTCACACATTCTGCTGCGTTTCCAGTCAAAGAAATGGCTCTCACTGTAGATACATCCTGCAAACGTAAAAAAAGTGTGGAGGCTTGCAGCCATTTGAGTTCTTTTTGGTTTCATGAGGAGAAACCCTATGATGTTACAGAATGTGGGAAAACCTTTTCTCTCAGGAAGTTTAGAAGACCCATGGATGCGCACCATGGAGATAGACCTTACGAATGTAACTTTTGTGGGAAAGCCTTTTTATTTCCTAGCTTAGTTTGCAGGTATGAAAGGCGTCACACTGGACAGAAGCCCTATGAATGTAAGCAGTGTGGGAAAGCCCGTTCAGGTGCTGCTTATTTACAAGTCCACGAAAGAATTCCCACCGGCGAGAAACCCTATGAATGTAAGCAGTGTGGGAAACGCTGTGCTTGTTCAAGTTCTTTTCGAGAACGGAACAGGCCTTTCACTAGACAAAATCCCTCTGAATGGAAGGCACCTGGGAAAGCTTTTACACTTTACAATTCTATCAGAATCCAGAGAAGGACTCACACCAGAGAGAAAACTTACGAATGCAAGAAATGCAGTGAAGGTTTTCTTGCTCCCAGAAGGGTCAGAGGGCAAGTGGTGGAACTCAACACAGGTGTAACCCATCAATGTGAATTTTGTGAGGAAACCAGGAAGCCTATGTGTTGTCTACACCACAAAAGGACTCATTCAAGAAAGACGCCCTATGAATGTCAGGACTGTGGGAAGGCCCTCAGAAACTATAGTACTTTGAAAGTGCATGAAATGACTCATACTGGGGAGAGACCTTATGTGTGTACACAGTGTGGGAAAGCCTTCACACATTCTAGTTCTGTTCGAGTACATGAAAGGACTCACACCGGAGAGAAACCTTATAAGTGTACTGAGTGTGGCAAAGTCTTTGCACACTCTAGTTCTTTTCGAGTGCATGAAAGAACTCACACTGGAGAGAAACCCTATGAATGTCAGCAGTGTGGGAAAGCATTCATATATTTGAGTTCTTTTCAAGTACATGCAAGGACTCATACTGGAGAGAGGCCTTATGGTTGTAAGCGATGTGGGAAAGCCTTTATTTGTTCTAGTCATCTTCAGAAACATGAACGAACTCATTGGAGAGGCACTGAAAATGAGTATGGGAATACTTAATTTTTTTTTTTTTGGCCAGTCCTGGGCTTGAAATCAGGGCCTGGGCGCTGTTGCTGAGTTGCTTTTGCTCAAGGCTAGCACTCAACCACTTGAGCCCCAGCGCCACTTCGGCTTTTTCTGTGTATGTGGTACTGAGGAATTGAACCCAGGGCTTCATGTATACTAGGCAAGCACTCTACCACTAAGCCACCTTCCCAGCCTGAATTCTTGGTCTGATAGGGATTCTAGAACATGTAAAACTCACTGACAATAAGCCAAGTGAAGTTAAAATATAAGTGTGAGATCCTTTTCTAAAAATCTAGGCTAGGAAGTGGCGCTGTGACTCAAGTGGTAGAGCACTAACCTTGAGCTGAAGAGCTGAGGGACAGCGCTCAGGCCCAGAGTTCAAGCCCCACGACTGACAAAAACAAAAAAACAAAAATCTAGGCGATTGCTAGTGCATGGATGGACTAACCAAAGAAACATAAAAATAGTACGAATGGAAATAGTGCAGTGAAGCCTTCAATTGTAAGTCATTTCATATAGCAGAAATCCTATGAATATAAGGAATTTGAAGAACTCTTCAAATCCCAAGTTCCTTTTCATGAATGAGCTCATCCTTGAGAGCTTGTGGAAGGAGCTGGGACATTTTATGTTGTAATATTTCCAGCACAGAAGCAAGTACATAATGAAGAAAGTCCAAATGTGAAAGTTCAAAGTTTATATCATCTCAGTACAAATGGAAACCATAAAGTGTTGACATTCCATGAATATTAATAATAGCTCAAGGCCAGGCATCCTGACAAAGACATGTAAGAAGACACGGTAGTTTTCAATGCCTTTAGTTCTTTTTTTATGCCAGTATTGGGGTTTGAATTCAGGGCCTTGCACCTGATTGGCTTGCTTGGCTGGTACACTACCAATTAAACCCCCATTGGTTTTGCAAATAAGTTTTGTTGTTTTTGGTGGTGGTGGTTGTGGGGTTTGAATTTTGGGCCTGCATGTTGTCCCTCAGCTCTTCAGCTCAAGGCTAGCGCTCTACCACTTGAGCCACAGCGACACTTCTGGTTTTTTCTGCTTATGTGGTGCTGAGGAATGAACCCAGGGCCTTGTGCATGCAAGGCAAGCGCACTACCACTGAGCCACCTTCCCAGACCAAAATACTTTTTTTTTTTAAACATTACACAAATTCTTTTTCTGGTGTCAGTGTTGGGGCTTGAACTTAGGGCCTGGGCACTATTCCTGAACTTTTTTGTTTAAGGTTAGTCAGAGTTCCACTTCTAGCTTTGTGTGTGTGTGTGTTTAATTGGAGATAAGAGTCTCACAGATTTCCTGCCTGGACTGGCTTTGAACCACTATACTCAGATCTCAGCTTCCTGAGTAGGATTACTGGTATGAGCCACAGGCTTCCAGTTTGACAAATACTTTGTATGTCAAGTGAAAATTTTCTGGAGAAGCTTTGTAAGTAACACGGAAAACTTTATGAAAATGGACCTTTTTTGAGTACTCAACCCCCCACCATAGTAAGAGATGTTTTGAAAGGCATGCAAGTGTTCTGTTTATCAATGGTTCATGATTTCTACTTTTAGGACGAGTATTGAGTGAAATATTTTGTGGGGTATTCTTTAGGCACTTGTAATGTGAGCTTAACCAAGTTGTTTTCCTAAAGTGACAAAATACAGATTTTCCCTTTTCCTTTGGGCTGCGGTGTCTGAATGGATGATAGGGTCCTTACAGTATGTTTGGTTTATTTTTTACATAGTTCAATTGTGATTAATAGGCTACTGACAAATGGCTAATTGTTGGGATTTTCCAATTGCCTTCTATGGCAAGGACGAGATATTCTTTTCCTTTTTTTTTTTTTTTTTTTGGTCGTGGGGCTTGAACTCTGGGCCTGGGCGCTGTCCCTCAGCTCTTCAGCTCAATGCAAGCTCTCTACCACTTGAGCCACAGCGCCACTTCCGGTTTTCTAGTGGTTTATTGGAGATAAGAGCCTCATGGACTTTCCTGCCCGGGCTGGCTTTGAACCGTGAACCTCAGCTTTCAGCCTCCTGAGTCACTAGAATGACAGGTGTGAGCCACCGGCACTCGGCATTTCGCTTCTTATGGAAATAAATCACTCAAAGCTGGATATGGTGGTTCATGCCAGTAATCGCTACTACCTGAAAAGTGAAGTTTGAGCTCAGGAAAAAATAAATGAGACCTCCCCCCCCCCCCCCACGCCATTCAAACCAATAAATATATCAGCTATGTATGCAGGAGGTGTAAATAGAAGAGTTGTGGTACAGGCTGGACTGGGAAAAACAAAAGAAAGAAACCCTATCTGAAAAATAGTATATTAAGAAGCTCTAGGAGGGCTGGGAATGTGGCTTAGTGGTAGAGTGCTTGCCTAGCACTCATGAGGCACTAGATTCAGTTCCTCAGTACCACATAACATAGACAAAGCTGGCAGTGGCCTGTGGCTCAGGTGGTAGAGTGTAGAGCAAAAAGTAGCTCAGGCCCTGAGTTCAAGACCCAGGGCTGGCGAGTGGTAGAGTGGTTCAAGTGGTAGAGTGACAGCAAGTCTGAGGTCCTAAGCTTACCACCCAGTACCATGGTAAGGGCAATCTAGGCAAAGGGTTCTGTTTCATTTCCCTTTGCTATTGTTCAGATTTGTAGCTGAAATGATAAATACGTTAATGATTTTCATCAACTTCCTGCATATTGGGCACTGTTAAAGTATTTTTGTTAAAATACATATACTAAAGCTGAGTGCTGGTGGCTTATGCCTCTATTCCTAGCTACTCAGGTGGCTAAAATCTGGAGGACAGTGTTGAAGCCAGCATGGATCTATCCCAATTTACCATAAAAGATGCTGAACTGAAGGTGTGCTTCCAGTGGTAGAGTGCCAGACGTGCAGAAAAGCTGTGCAAGAATGTAAGACCTTGAATTCCATCTCTGATGCTAGCACATATCTACACATCTCTTGAAGTGGTATTAGGAACTGTGATGGGGAAAAAGGAATTAGCTTGACTACCTTGCATTCATTAGTGGAAAGGGTCACAATAACATCTCTTGTACAGCTAATATATGCTAGTAGAAATTGGATAAATCAGCTGGGTGCCATGCCTGTAATCCTAGCTACTCAAGAGGCTAAGATCTGAGGATTATGGTTCAAAGCCAGCTCAGATATGAAAGTCTGTGAGACTCATCTCCAATTAACTACCTAAAACTGAAAAACTTTTTTGAGTTGTGGCTCAAGGTGGTAGAGTGTTAGACAAGCAAAAAAGCTCAGGGATGGTGCCCAGGCCTTGAGTTCAAGTCCCAGGACTGCTTCCCTCCCCCACAAAGATGAATCTTAACTATATAATACTAAGTGGAAAGTAGCAGGTAAGACTACTTTGAAGGTTATGACAACCAAAATGAGAAGCATTTATAATAGGTAAGTGTAGTGGGGAAGACATGGAGCTATGGAACATAAATTGAAGAGTAATGAATTATTTATGGAAATTGGAGATGACACCTGTTGCATAGAATTACAGTAATTAATGTACATGTGTATCCTGATAACAGGAATATAAAGCAATACCCACCCATGGAATTGAAACCAGGGAGTGGAACAAGAAGTACATTCAGGAAGAGAAAATGAATAGTATGAGATACTTTCTAGGGGTGAGCCACATTCTAGGTCTTAGAAGTCGTTTAACCAACAGTATAAAGCCTTGCCTAACCTTAGTATAAATGTTACATACAGTGTTTCATTTGTGGCTGTGTTTTATACATATATGTAGCTAAAACTCACTACAGAGATTACCATCTTCCCAGAAATTTATAATACCAGCTTACAAACATTTCATCATACTTAATTTTTTGTGTGGGTACTGGGGATTGAACGTCTGTGTCTGCTAGGCAAATGCCCTGCTATTGAACTACATCCCAGTCCATGGCAGCATGCAATTTTCTAATGGAAGAAGCAAAAGACAGGATTCTAGGATTCAGGGCTGGGAAGGTGGCTCCATGGTAGAGTGCTTGCCTTGCATGCATGAGGCCCTGGGTTCGATTCCTCAGCACCACATAAGCAGAAAAGGCTGGAAGTGGCGCTGTGGCTCAAGAGGTAGAGTGCTAGCCTTGAGCTGAAATGCTGAGGGACAGTGCTCAGGCCCAGAGTTCAGGCCCCACAACTGACAGAAAAAAAAAAAATTCTAAGATTCCTGCATTAAGAGTCAACAAGAATAGCTACTATTACCTAACACTAACATAAAGCTGTAATATAATAAGAGAACTGGGAAATACAATAAGAATGTCATTAGAGGATTAGATGTGCATATAAGGTTTGCTTTAGGAGCAACAGAAAGGCCTCCATATCAACATTACATCTTATTAAACAACTCAAAGAGCAGATGATGGGGTTGGGACATAGCACAACGGTAAGAGAGCAAGACCAGAATGTGTTAACGCCATAGGTTAAATTCCCAGCATCTACTAAAGTTGGACTTCATTCATCCCTGGACACAGCTGAATAAACACCCTCTCATATTTTCAGTACTTCTAAAACATCTAAAGGAATTGAGAGACTTACATAAACCAGCAGACTGGTCGAGCGCTGATGGCTCACACCTGTAATCCTAGCTACTCAGGAGCCTGAGATCTGAGGATTGCTATTCAAAGTCATCCTAGGCAGGAAAGGCTGTGAAACTCATCTCCAATAAACCACCAGAAGATTGGAAATGGCACTGTGGCGCAAGTGGTAGAGGGCTCGCTTTGAGCTGAAGAGCTAAAGGACAGCGCTCGGGCCCAGAGGTCAAGCCCCACGACCCACAAAAAAACCCCAGCAGACTGACAGGGCAGCTAGCCATCATCAATGGGAATATGTGATGAAGACCTACAATGAAAAATCTTCAAGGTCTTCAATCTTTATTATTTTTTGCTTGGTGCTGGTCCTGGGGCTTGAACTCTAGGCCTGGGCACTGTTGCTGAACTTCTTTCTGTGCTCAAGGCAAGTATGTTCTAACTCATTCTCTAGTCACTTTACAGTCACCTCGGGTTCCTAGAAAGGACTG